CCAAGACACACAGTCCCACGTTACCTGGACAAGAAGAGCAGTCGGGTGACAGCAACCAGGGTCAACCAGAGCAGAGGCAGGTTTGAGGTGAAGTCAGTGGGACTAGGCAACGAGCAAGGGCCTGAGCTCCAGCACAGCCCCCCAGCAAAGAGGGGAAGATTCAAAGCAAGCTTTCCCCAGCTCTGCCTCACCACCCAAACACCTGCACGTAGTCAGGGCTGGCCTCCAGCACGGGCAGCCCAAACCACTAGAGAAGGGCTGGGCAGGGCTCAAACAACCCAACAAGATTAATCAGCTGTTGGAAATTACAAATCAGAATCAGGTGGTTTAGCTCAGCTAACAATAAGCCTAAGCCAAAGCATCATCAGGCTAACGAACACCCTCGTTTTGGATTCTTATAGTTAGTAAGTAGTGAGAGAAATACACACTATTGAGTCTGGAGGTGGCTGCTCCCAGTCAATGTTCCGAGGCGTTCTACACCTGTCTCCATTTCCTTTACTAGAGTTTCTTAATTTAAAAACCTTTAAATCATTTTCATGGATATTACTTCTGAGCACTCCACAGCACAAAATGATTACAAAACACAAAAAAATGATGACTGCTCTTTTTTTAGCAGCTACCAGGCTGCTGTGTTTATGGAGGAGAGCATTCATAATGTAAAGCACTGTAGAAAAAGAATTTGTTCGTATCATGCCCCCTGTCGCATGCTTTTGCAGCATCTTTGAGTTATGATGAATTCAATAACCGATTTTAAGTATTAAACATTTAACAATCAACCAGAATGTAAGCCTACGGCACCCTCTTGTGTTCAACAATAATATAGCAGTTTATTTGATTTTGAATCTTTCTAGGTTCAGTCTGTTGTTATTCAGGAAAAACCTGTTGAAGACAAATTCATCCATTAAGTTATGATTAATACTTTTTGTATTAATCTGATACTCTGATTGAGCTACCTCTATTTTACTGTGAAGATCACAGATACAACACTAAATAGCTAAGAAATTAATTCCAGATAGAATTGAATAAAGGATTAAAATAATACCTGATATACATAAGCTCTATTCTGTAGCAATGTAGCATGTCGCAAGAATTTATTGGACATAAGTCTTACATTAAAACACAAGAAAGAAACTGAAAATCAAGAAGCAGAAACACAAACATGCCAATGAGCAAGATTAGTAGACAAAGGAAAAGCATAACTGTATCATTAGAGAGCCAGGCTGAGATGATCCTAATTAGATTCCCAGCTAACAAACATCCCGTGACTTAGTGAGGTGCCTAAGGTTATTATTATGGAGACACTGAACTTCCAGGGCACGGAGAGTGACTTCATGACTCTTTAGAATATGCTCAGATACGTCAAGCATGCCGTGGCAGAGGATACACATAGTCAGAAGTCAAAACGCTGATTCATTGTTTACAGCTGTACTAATTTCTTATACTTGGCCTCTTCTATTCTAAGCCACAATATTACTTCTGGATATCAGGAAAAAAGGAAACATGCCCACCAGTGAATTCCTGCATGAGCCTAATACAACAAAGGCAAGCACAGGGAGAAGAAAAGAAGGTGAGGAGAAACAGGACAAAAGCTGATGACTTTCTTGAGCTACTAATATTTACACACGTATTACTAAGGCAGAAAAAGAGAGAGATGTTTAGTATGATTGATACCCTAGTCTGCTTTACATGCCACTTCTACATACAAAAATATCTTTATCCAAGTGTTTAATGAGATGTGTAGATATAACAACTACAGATAATTCTTCTCTGATTAACCCTCAAATCCATCTCTGTACGTGTAGCTTAAACATTCTGTTGTTCACCATTTTCCAAAACAAACATCTGGCTCGGGTCCTCTCAAATTTCAAATGTAAAGATATTTGGATGATCTAAAATTACTCCAATAAAATCCAGTAGTATTAAAAAACTGTTTAAGATGAATTGTTACCAACAAAGCCCTCCCTCTCCCAATCAGAAAATACTTGGGAATTGGTACCAATAGGAATATCAAATCCAACAAGACAACCAGAAACAAAACAGGATTATTCACCCTCAAATGAAAGTGATTCTTTTAAACGTGGCATACAGGTTTTGGCTGGCATAAAGTTAATTTTTTTTTCATGCTAGCTATGTTTTGAATTTGTGACAAAAACAGTGTTGATAACAGGACAGTGTTTTAGTTATTGTTTACACAGAGTCAAGACCTTTTCTGCTTCCCACACCACCAGTGAGTAGGCTGGGGGTGCACAAGAAGTTGGGAGGCGACACAGCTGACCCCAACTGACCAAAGGGATATCCCACACCATATGACGTCATGCTCACTATATACACCTGGGGGAAGAAGAAAGAAGGGGGAGGGACGTTCAGAGTGATGGCATTTGTCTTCCCAAGTAACTGTTAATGCATGATGGAGCCCTGCTTTCCTGGAGATGGCCGAACACCTACCTGCTTATGAGACATTCATCTAGGTATGTAGAAGCCCTAGCCAGAAGAAATAATCAAATAAGGCTTCATCGTATTTATTTTCACAAAGTCCACTGTTATTATTTTACATTGTTTCACAGTATCAGATGCAGAAAAGAAAGTGAAACACAAAGATGCTTATTTCATCCAAGGAGGGAAAGCCAGGCGTAATAGGGGTGTTTCACCATTTACCCTAGCAAGCGTATAAGACTCCAGAGCAACAATAAAATAAGAGCTCTGAAGAGAGGGTGCTTGTGTGAAAGATTATTCTTGAATGTGAAATAAATAACACTCGACACCACTTGTCCACTTGTCAAAAAATATTTTCATTTTAACAAAAGCCCAGTATCATCAGTCTCACACATCAGAAGTTATAGAGTGACATGTAATGAATTCAATTGTCCCCATGGAAAGGAGCAAGTCCATACCAGAGGAGCGTTTGAGTTTCCACAATTGTTTTGCCTTATATAAAAATATTTTCCAATTTCACATTTAATGTCAGTGTTATCTTAACATAAATTGGTTCCACATTCTAAGTCTTTTTGATCCTAAGTTAATTTTCAAATAGTAGAGCAGAATGTGTTCGATACAGTAACAAGTACCTTTTTTCCCCTTGCAGAGAAGGAAAACTTAATAAGTTAAGTCAAAAATACTTTCACAAATCATTTCAGTATTTGAGAAAAGTAGTGATATAACAACAACATTAAGATGTAGAGATCATTTGACATGACGAATTCCACTGTTCTATACACGGGTCTGCCTCTAAGGAGTCTAAATTCTCACATTCTTTACTCTGTAAAGTAAGTAATATTTGCTCATTGTAAAATCAACTTAATTGTTCATAATCCCTTTTGGATATTTGTGAACTTAACACATAGGAGATGAGAGAGGATGTAAAAAGGTGTTAATTTATTTTTTGTGGTTGTGTGGGGCTTATTTTAACAGAGAATTAATTATGCACACCTTTCATTAATTTTCATTCTCTACAAGTCATGAATCATCTGTGTCATACTGTATTGCTTTTTTTCCTCACTTCTCGGTTACTAACCCAAAATTGCTGTGTAAGGCTTCCAAAACCAAAAATCTGCTCAGTTCTACTGTTGAGGGTAATAAAAGCTGTTACATTGCCATCTGATCAGACTAACAAAGCTGAAGACTTCAGAATCCTAATCAGAAAACATTTACCCTTTACAACATTCTCATTGAATTTACAAGCCACTACTCTTCTTATACTAAAGTCAGATACTTTAGGTATTACCACCCTGCTTCTTTTAAGGAGTCAGGGCATTTAACCACTTCCAGCTGAAGAGTTACCAAGAACTTACCATGATGTATACATACAGTTTGCATGAACACAATTGTATTCTATAGCACATTCAAAATAGGCAGCAAATTAGAAAAATGGCTCAAATGAGGGAGTGTATTAGCGTGCAAAGAAAATTCTTAACAGAATTTGGGAACTCAGCGTACCATTTGCCATTGTAATAGAAGCAATGCTTTCCATTCCACAGTCAGCTGAGCCATCCTGTAGTACTTTGCCATAAAGGTCTAAACTAAACTGGTATTAAAAATAAAACTGGAGCGTGCTCACAAACAGCTATTATTTAACTAAGGCATTGAAAGGTTTAGAACTGGACTAATCCTTTAGTTTCCAGTAAACACAGCCTTTCTGAATGCAGACTGTCAACAGACAGACATCTGTCCAGAATCACACCCAATGAATAAAATTTAATTATGGCTTATGCACAAAGGTTTTTGAGTATGACAAGATTCAAGCTATGCTAGTTAGTGAGAATTTCCATTTGCTTCAGAAGGGTTATACAAGCTCATTAACAATGCAAGGTATTTGATTTTTTGCATTATTAATTCAGCTCTACAATACGTAGGGAAAAAAAAAAATCTTTCATGAAACAGCCAAAGTAATTCATTTGTATATCAGCATCACCAAGGATCTTCTTCCACCTACAAGGAGTAAGAATAAGAGTGAAATTGAATGCGTAAGTGTTGACTGTGCTAAAATGTATTTCAAAGTTTTGAAGACTTCGTTTTCTGCAGACAACAGAACACAATTTCTCTATACTTCAATATCGTAATGACAGATTCAAAAGCAATTTTGTTTTCAAAATATTAAGCAATATGGCTGCTATCCCATTAATTCAGGTTCATAAATGCTGAATAGTCTCACTACTTTTAATTATTAGACCAAAATATCATCTGTCTTGCAATTAATTCAAACAGAGGACAGTGACCGTGCCCAGTCTATGAGTCCTTCCTCCCAAGAAACTGTATTTAAGCTGAGGTACAAGTGCAGTTAACCAGGGATAGTTCTATAGATACTACACTTGATATTGTTAAGTAGGTGGATCCCCTATTCAAACATATCATGATTTCAGACGCTGCATCCAGTAGACTACTTAGGGAAAAGACATAAATGTGTATAAGAAACAGAGACAGTTAATATACACTGTTACTAATAAGGAGAAGTTTTACAGGTTCCAAATATAATGACAGTTAAGCATGCAAAACTTAAGTACTTACTAAGGCTTGACGCTGTAATATTCTTCTGGTGTCACAATTTTCAATCCACCAAAGTAGTCCAGGACCCAAATATTGGTGATGTTGAACTTGGCAAAGAACCAATTATGATCCTTAGGCCAACTTTCCATTTCAGGGTGGCGACTGAATAATGCTTTTTTTGCTACACCTGCTTCTGAGTCATTCACCTAAACAATAACCAGCAAAATATTACAGTAAGATACAGTCATGTGACAACGAATTTTAGCTAAAAAACCACTGCTGACTGCAGTGTGCTCTTTTCAGTTTAGCCATGTCTTGTCCCAAAGGACTCATTACTGTGGCAGAGTCCACTCATCTTCACTGTGGTGTACAACTGTACATGAGACAGACAAAACCTCCAAGGTAGTTGCTTTTAATATTAATCAAAAGGGTGCTTTTAAAGTAAGCAAGAGCAAGAAGGTACTTCATCAACATAAGAATAAATCTTTCAACAAATAACAAAACAGAGAAGTATGGATTCTTGCTGAATTATTACACCGCAATGCTTTAGATGTAATTTTACCTCGTCTGCACCTGCTCACTCGAACAGACACAAACAGATCTGACTGTGTTCAGATGTATGCAAACACACACACACACAAATAGGATGACACAACAGAATCTACAAGAGAAGGGAAGCTGAAATGTGTGACAGCACTTAATATACAATGTGCAAATGTTTAAAGGGTTAAATCAACAAGTTATTGCTCCAGGTATAGTACAAGAGGAACTAATCAAATTAAACAATTCCATTACTGATGAGAAACCCACCACAGCAATTAAAGCATTGCTGGAGTGTACTGTACAAATATCTGAGGTGTGAAAACACCCAACAAGAATTTAAACTATCCTATAAGAGATAAATGATGATTAGTCCTCATCCTCAATCATTATCCTCACTAATGGGATTACGATCTTCAATGATTAACACATGCAGTTCTAAATTCCTTCTACAGGACACCAAAGTACTGGAGCATGAATGAATACTGCCCTGGCAGTAACACCACCAGATAATACAATGCACTTTTTCTGTCTCTAATACCTGGGACGTTATAGCTCAGGCTAATATTTACTTTATTAAAGCTTCAGAAGCACATGTCACACCACACGGATCAAAGAATTTAACTGAGCAGAAGAGATGGAAAAACCTTCACACTTCATTCACAAGAGAATTGTCTTAGACTTCTTAGTTTCAAAACAGGTCTAGAGGAATAAGGGAGATTTCCTTCATTACAATATTGTCCTCCCAAGTTCCTTGCTAAAGACACACCAACACAGCTCCTGCAAATATCAAAGGGTAACTTCATTTTCCTCACACAAACTACGAGCTAGCCTTCTGGTATCACGGCACATAACATCTCTTCATATACTTTCGCACAGAAATTCTAACCTTTCTCTTCTCCATCCACTAAACAATACTATTTGATGGACGTAATCTTGTCCAGTGTCAACTTTCAGCTGCTTACCTTTACAATGCTCCCACAGAAGATTATGTGGGCACAGAGGGGATTCTGGGGATCATATCTGTGCTTCTTGCAGTAAGGAGTCTGTGCCAAAGACACAGTTAAGGAGGCATTTGAATTGATCTGAAAGGCAAGTAGTAAGAGAAGAGGTTTACACACTTTTGTGAGAAAAATGTCATACCCACCATATTTTCAGCTTTTGGTACTTTATTCAGCTCAGTATTCCCAGTAAAAAGAACAAAGCTGTCATCTTTTCCTAACTATATCTGAAAGCCTACTTAAATGAGCTCTGAATCTGAAAGAAAGCCCCGTTTAGAAGTGTGCTGAAGTTTCTTAGCATAAAACATAAGCCTCATGAAACAGCACTCCTTCAAACTCTGAATTCAGTATACAGTCTAGCTATTTCACATTCAAATAATGATATATTTCAATTACATACATACAGGACAGCATGGGAGACAAGACATACAGTGAACTTAATGAAGTTAAATCTGGTGGAAGGACAAAGGGTTACTGAAATGTAACCGAGTTTCACAACTGTTGATGAAATTAGTTAAAACACAAACACACACACCCGCTATCAAAACAAGCCTCCCCAAACTGGTCAGCTCTTTTGAAGTTTAAAACAAATTTTAAAAGTTAGGTTTAAAAAATCCTGAGTGTTTAAGTAAGATGCCTAACTTGAAGAATTAAAGAATCTGTACCCGATGATTGTTTTTCTAAAATTAATTTGGTGAACACAGCTTGAAAAGTATTGGTGCAAAACAGGATTGCCTACTGCAGAATGTCACACGCTAAAGTTCATTTTCTGCCAGCAAAGAAAGTTTATGTGCTTTGGGAAGTTTCATTAAAAGAGCTCATCTCAAAAAGAAACTCCCAAAAGCCACTTAAGTGCTGTGTAGTGCGGTACCCCTGAACTGGTACACAGGAGCCACCACTTGACTCACAGAACTGGTCGGAAGTTGCTTAACTACAAAACAGCTGAGGCATGATTATTCAGCACTATCTCCTGCCAGACCTCTCCCTTACACGTGACTGTCACAGTCAAATGTTTCTGCCCTGTAACAGCGGAGTAAGGATCTGTTGGGGAGCCTTCTGAAGGAAAATGTTCCTTAACAGTTCATACCGTGATTTTTAGGTTATTCTCAAAACAAAAGTACGTAGGCGGGTTGGAGAATGAGATACTGTACAAGATGAATTAGGCTTTCTGCAGCACTTAGATACATAATTAAGCTATTTTAACATAACAAACTAAAACCTGACAGGGAACAAACAAAAAAGGCTTACAGTAAAACAAAGTTTGAAAAATTCGTATTATTTGTGTTTATTTGTTTTACTAATACTGTACTAGTTACTAGAACAAAAGGGTTCCCTTTAATAAACGATGCGTACGATCACTACTTCCCTAACTTTTTAGCCAACTCTCTCTTGACCACAGCCAAGCAGAAGAGGTGAGACAAGGCCAATTGCACACACTTAGAGCCCCAGCATCCCTGTCTGCTGCCATCCTTTGGGCACTTGCCTTTATTGTAAGCTCCAGAGATTTAATTACTAGTCTTTCAGTAGCCTGCGTAGGAGCCCTCTTTGCTCAAGCCCCACACCACCAATTTCGAGTCCTTTTGATATTTTTTGTGAGGTTCTCCCTGTTTAAATATTCTGTGGGTCCTCATTTCTCTACCCAGTGCTTATGGAAGCTTCAGCCACTTCCTCTACCAGAGTGCTGCTTCACAATTTTTCAGGC